GTTGGGGAGAATGTCTTGGATAGGATATGTGATTGAGAGCAACTGGGAGAATGAGCCAAAACTCAGAGGCTACCAAAACTTCCCAAAACTTTCAGGAAGGATTGAGAACCTTTTTGACTATGTCTATACTTATATTGTAGAATTGTAAAGAATACTCTAGATCATATATAATGTTCTAGAAAAATAGATCGTAGCTGTTAAATCAAAATAATCTTGTTTGTCCATTGAGAAAGTGCTATATATCAATAGAGGTGTAGAGATTATTTTTGAACTATCGAGTGTTAAGAGTAATACAACTACTTTCTTTGAGTTCTTTCTTACATTTGTGGTAGTGTGTTGAAAGGCCGAACAAGAAAAATCTTTGACGGTGTCAAGGAATTGCTAGATCAATGAGGATGTTTGACAAGAAGCAATGTGACCAGTTACCCTAGGAACCCTGAGATAAGAATGCAATCATCTTATAAATATTCTTTCTCAAGGAAAAAGGAAAACCTCTCTATACAAACTCTATTAGTACGATATATGTTTGTGGACTTTCTCTTTCATTTCATAACCAAATATCACACTTAGATGCAAATTAGTTAACAAATATGTTAAACATTTCTAAATACTTAGGCCATTCACAGAAAAATAGGTCTTACAAGAGTCTCTTAAATTTTTTTGTCACTCTCTTTCCATCACCTAAGAAGAAAAAAATACAGATATATTATATTTATATGCCTTAAATTTAGTTTGCCATTTCACTGAGTTTTCAGGCAGTCTCGTTGCCCGGTCAGTGAGTCAGGGGGTCAAGGGGGCGAAGTCCCCCTTGCCCGACGATATTCAGTATTGGACATTTGAGTTGGTATTAGATTGAGCCCGTCTTATGTATTCTCTTAGTTTATTTAAATAGACTTAAATATTTGAAAATTGTAATTTGTAACGTAACCGTCATCAATAAATTTATTTTCTATTTCTGCCCGTGGACGTAGATAACACGTTGTTGGTGAACCATGTAAATATGTGTTCTTTACGTTTCTATTTATTATTCGATCACTAATCCTAATTCGTTACAACAATATTAAAGTTTGTATTTTAAAATATAATTCAAATAAAAATGTATCATTATTTATTCTATTGTATAGAGATTGAATTTTCACATAATAAAATATGGAAAATAATAAAATCCTTAAAAAAAAACTATTTTTAGTTCAACATGAGACTCTCATTGCCATTTTAAGACTATAACTAGATCTTGTATAGATTAGTTTCATAAGTAAAAAATTTTGACAGAAATGGCCATCAGGCATCGGAGTTGCTTATGTGGCACCGTCGTGACAATGTTAGATATATTAAGGAGTATCATACAAACTGAAGGTTATATGGATGATATGTGAAAAATATTTGAAAATCATTTTAGAAGTACAATTAGATTATAGATTGGATTACTTTCATAATTAAAAAGTTTTCACATAAATGATTCTCAAACGTTGTCTATGTGTTACCCACATAATCTTTGGCATGTCACGACATCAACTTTGGCGTCTAATGACTGTTTCAACCAAAATTTTTAAGTCTAACTATGGTAAGAGTTCATATACGAAACTAAAAAATAATATTCCCCAAATATACACAAAACAGTGAAGTTTTCTTCAAGAAACCCAAGAGATTTTTCTGATGTGGGGATTTATGCCCGAACACTAGTCACATCAATACAAACTTTCACACAATACATTGCGACGACAACCTGACAGGTATAACAAGAAAGTAGTAAATGTTTTACTATCGGGACTGGTTCCTCACCCCCTACCAACCCACCCACCCTCTCACACATGCCTATACATACACATTTTATATGTATAGCTATTCTTGGGTTGGTATAGGGCTTGTTCGGATGTGGGATTGTCTTTCTAACTAAATTATTATTATTATTATTTTATTTATAATAAATATTCAATTAAATATCTATTTTAATAATATATTTAAAATATTTATCAAAATATTATATCAAATACTTATTTATATGACATCAATATCTTGGAAATTCATAGTTTAACTATTTCGAACTCAAATTCTATCTCCTAACCCCACATCCAAACTCACCCAAGGTGGTTAAGGATCCCACCTCTCGCTACACAACACTTACATTTAGAAAAATTCAAAGAAGAGGCAATAAACCTAATCTATTTTGTAGAAACTATTTACAAAACTAAAAACATAAATTATTTTATGCTTCCTATGGTTTATTAAAAATTATCATTCTCCTATTCAATATAAAATTTATGATGAGACATATCTATGCTATTGTAAAATTCTATCAAGAACTTCGCAAATTTTAACAAATAAGGATATGTTTTAGATACTATGATTAATTGAAGCATGCTTGACTATACTAAATTGTCCATCTCAATTATAGTCATACAATGCGAGAAATATTACCCATTTAATTTTAATTAATGGGGAGTTTTGTGTCAAGTTTAATAACACAAAGATAGATCACGGGCAATCTTTGAAACACAATGATGAATGGTGATTATTTTAATTAAATCACGACGAGGTATAATGCAATTTACCGAAAAATAAAAACAATGTATGCCATGAAGTACATTAGTTCATAGTTATATATCCTTACAGTTGGTGTGTGCTATTTTCTTCTAAGATCTTTGTAATCTATCATCCAAAGAAGAAGTTGCATGTGATGATGATGTGTCTATCGAACAAGCAAACATGTAAGATAGCTCTATCTAGAGTTGGTGCAAAATCTAAACAGTATCAATTACAATCACAGTCGCGCTCTCAATTGATTTCAACTATTTCATCTTTCTTATTTTTGTTGTTGCTCTGAAGGTGCAAAAGATGATTTTTGAGGGCCAGTGGCCATTGTAATTTTCTTGTCGAATAGATTGAGGGGGAAAGATTTTTCGAGTAATGCTAATCTTAGCGAAAGTTTGTACAGTCGAGCAAATAGTTAATTGCATGACCATTGCAAACGTCTCATTCATTTCACCTTGAATGCTCTGTGTCCTATCTTCTACATTTCTTTCCCTTTCTTTGGTTCTTTGTTCTCGAGCTTTTAAGCCACGATTCAGTTCATGTAATTTGGTCACAAACATATCAGCTTGGTTCCATTGCAGCCTGGCCATAAAGGTTCAAGAGTAATATAATTAGGGTTTGTTTAAATGTGTTTTGGAGAAAATTGTATGAAAACAAAGTTGAAAACATAATTAGACAAGCCATTACTTTACCTCTTTTTATTGTGGTAACTTTCTTATCCTTTTATTATACCTTATTTGTTCAATACTTACCGAGTCTTTCTATCGTAGATTCGATGCCTACTCTAAAAAAGTATATGGCTCATTCAGGTTATCAAAATGATGTATGATAACTTTATTATTGGTGAATTTTATTTTATTTTTTTTGGATGATTTCACTGAGCTTGATCATTTCAGTATCTTCTTAACATCAGTTTGCCTCAAAATAGATATCATAATTAATTTGTTAATTTACAAGCTAATGAATCAAACAGGATAAATAAGAAGAATATGTTGTTATTGTTTTAAGCCTAAGCAATAGTTTCTGTAACCGCAATTGGACTTATTATTCGACACCGCCAAACTTAAGTGCATCGGAATGTGTGGCAGCACCGCAAAGAGTGGCGCTGCCACAGTTTGTTGGTGGCAGATGACACCAGACTGGATTTGTGAACAATAATTGTTAAGTTCTTAATTACATAAGCTATTGATTTTCTTCTTTTATTTTTATTTTTTGCAAAATTACTTGTGACTCACTTTGTGATTTGAAAAATTTGCATCATTCTCCCTTATGATTTAAAAATAACATGAGACTCCCTTGTGTTTTCGAAATATTGCACAAACTTATTTTTAGGGTATTTTATGCTATTCTTTAAAAAATATAAGAGAATTTCGTACAAGTTTTAGGGGTGCAATGTTTTCTAAAATATGAGTGAGTCTTGTGTAATTTCTAAATTACGGGTGAGTATGGTGTCGACTTTCTAAATGTGGATTATAAACGATTTTGCCTTTTAATTTTATAATATGTTAAGAATTAACCTATAATCTTAATGTTCATGGTTGGGATCCTTACTATGGCTGTTCTTATTCCCTACCATTCTTACATTATTATCTCTCCAAATCAATATTAACCGTTGGTCGATTTAATTTTTAGTGGTTGAAATTTAATTTAATGATAAATACATTTTATTCAGTATTTTGAATCCTAAGGGTTTTATGTTGCAATTTTAAAGCTCCTATTTTTGAAATAATTCAAGCGGATCTGTATTTCTAAATTTGCCATACATTTAATTAAATTATAACTCCATCCCTAACATTGCACTTGACTATTTTTCATTCTACAAAGACACAAGAAAAATCTAATTCCATCAAATCCGCATTGATGACTTAAAAGGAAAAAAATTGAGGGCTTCTTTCCTTCAATGTACTTAGCATTTTTTTTCTCGATTAATTTTATTTATATTTTATATTTTATCAAGCCTTTTTTTTTTTTTTCAAATTTTTCGTTTATCCCAAGAAATCGCTATTCAAATCTTCATCTTATTGACCCTAAAAAGACAAATAGATATTGTTTTCCTATATACAGCTTGATGCATTGCTGTCAATTTATTTCCAACCCATCCCCTTAACCACGGCCCTCCTACCCACTCGTTTTCACACACAGCCTCACTTCGTGTATATATATATATATATATATATATATAGATATGACCCTCAAGAGTCTCTCTTGTTACATAGGAAAGCACATTCATCGTCAATCTGTCTGATATGGCTGATGAATGCTGTTTCGACTGCTCAGAAATAACAGACCTGGTCTGTAATGAAGAAAACAGTTTTCTGTGCTTTGATGATGAAGATTATGTTATTTTCGAGTCTTTCTTCAATGAATCAATACAGCAAAGAACCGGCGAAAAAGGTTCCTTCTTTCGCTATTCTAGATTGGATACTGATGCATTGATTAAGGATTTGCCATCCCTGAGTGAAGAATCCTTTGGTTGGATGGTTGAGAGAGAGGTTGCTCACTTGCCTAGAGATGATTATCTCATGAGATTGAAGGGTGGAATGCTCGATAAGAGTTTGAGAACAATCGCCTTTAATTGGATGGTTAAGGTCATCAATCAATTAATCAGTGTTGTAGTTTCATAAAATTTTCGATTGCTTTTGGCCTCTTACTTAATGTCACTGCAGATTCAAATTGTGGTTTTATCAGGAAAAGGGTTGGGAATTTTGCCAGCATCATCAATTTTTTTCTATAAAAGCCGATTTTCGATTTTCACTGATTTTTGAAAAATTTCTAATGAAGTTTTTATTGGATTAGTATCGAGCCTCATCATTTAATGGTTTTCGAGATGAATTTAAATCCGAGGGCTTTTGTTCGACTTAAATTTATTACTAAACTGGATATGCTTACTTAAACACATTCGGTTTTGCGCTTTACAGGCTTGCGCCGCTTGCGATTTTGGGGAACTATGCTTCTATCTAGCTTTGAGTAACTTTGATCGATTCCTATCCATGTCTGAAGTTTCTGTACACTCACCAAATTTGGTAAAATCTCAATAAGTTATATATACCCCTTAGTGTTATATTCTCACTTACTTATAAAAATTATATTCGAATGTTTATTTCTTGGATCAAATAGGTAGATGGAGAATGGACAATTCCATTAGTTTCTGTCGCCTGCTTGTCATTAGCAGCTAAGATGGAGGAGGTTGATGTTCCTTCTCCTATTCATTTACAGGTCAGATTTTGAATGATATATGTATATATAGGCATGTTATATTCAATTTAATTAGTCTTCTTATGAACTTATATTCGATCAAGCTAATAATGTCCTAACAAGACAGGCAGGGGAGCCCGTATTCTTATTCGAAGTAAAGACCATACAAAAAATGGAATTGATGGTCTCAAGCAAGCTTAACTGGAGGCTCAAAGCGTATACGCCGTATAGTTTCTTAGACTATTTTCTGAGGAAGATGTATGGCGAAGATTTCATAATGGGGCCTTCGATTTCCCAATCAAGCCAAATCATCTCATGCATGATTGAAGGTCTCATACTTCTTTTCTTGATATACTAATCTTGTTATACACATGATACAGTGAAGTACCTTTTCTTGGTTGCTAAAAATCAAATGTATAGGTATTGACTTCTTGGAGTTTAAGCCATCTGAAATTGCTGCTGCTGTGGCCTTATATGTTCTGAATGAAAGCCGGGCAATGGACATCGACAAAACACTGTCCATTTTCTCACAACTAGACAAGGTACCTATGGTTTTCCTTATATATTTAAATACATGATCAAAATATATGTCGATAAACAAAAATTCATCTAAAAAGCTCGATACTACTCCTAATTATGACAAGTGGAGAGATTGCCTAATCGCTAAATAATATGTTTACACTCATATATCGAACGTTTTGAGGCATTAATACGTAGATTTATTTCTTATATACTTGATTATCTCATCAGAATACATAGGTGGCGTTGGTTTAAGAATTTTGGCATAGATTTTATTATTCACTAATTTTTTTTTCTAAAAAACATCACATCAAATATTTTTTTATTTATTTTTGTATACTATATTAAAATGAATTAAATTCAAAATATAATATTAATACGTATTTATATAAACATATCATCCAAATATATGTGGAAAACAAAAATTCATCTAAAAAGTTCGATACTACCCCTACTTATGACAAGTGGAGAGATCAATTAATAGCTAAGTAATTTGTTCACAATACATAGGTTTGTTGGTTTAAGAATTTTGGCCTAAATTTTATTATTCACTAATTTTATTAAAAAATATCAAATCAAATATTTATTTATTTATTTTTCTATACTATACTAAATTTAATTTATATTCAAAATATCACATTAATATTTTTTTAATATAAACATATCATCCAAATATTTGTTGAAAACAAAAGTTTATGTAAAACGGTCGACCGTACTTATGACAAGTAGAGGGATCGTTTAATGCTAAGTAGTAATATGTTCACACTCATGTATAGAATGTTTTGAGGCATTAATACATATTTTTATTTATATGCTTGATTATCTCATCAGAATACATAGGTGTGTGTTGGTTTAATAATTTTGGCCTAGATTTTATTATTCACTAATTTTATTTTAAAAAACATCAATTCAAATAATTATTTTTTATTTTTTTTTATATTATACTAAAAATTATTTTATATTAAAAATATCACATCAATATTTAATTATATTAAATTATATAACCGATCAAATTTAAATTTTTTACTATTCAAAAGCTAAACAGAAAATCCAAAATGATTCATCTAAAAAGGTTCATTCTATTTCTGGTTATGAAAAGTCCAAAGATTACTGAATAGCCATGTAATCCTGGAAATGTGTCCATCCATTTTCATCCATCTTAGGGTTTTTGCAGAAACTTTTATACATATTGATTATTGCATTGCAACATTTCTTCCTCTAAATATGCTCTAAGCTTTTTCATATGTTTTTCTTGCAGGCAAGAGTGGTGAAATGTCTTGAACTAGTTCAAGGAGTGGTGGCTGCTACTGCTACCACTGATACTTCGACGAATGCAGGTGTCGATGATTCGGTTTCAGGATCACTTGTGGATAGTCCCATTGGGGTTTTGGAAGCATCAGAATGCTTGAGCTACTCATGTGATGAAAGCGATGAAGACGAAACAGCAGCTGAATTATGTGTCTCTCATGACCCTCCACAGTACAGTGGCCCGGAGGCTAAACGGAAGAAGCTGTATCAAACTGCAACTGCAGAGGGTGAAGCTGGTGATGAGAAAACCATGGAGTCTTCGATGTGATGACTTTGGGGTTGGAAAGGCAGAGAGGTTTGTAGCTTTCTCAAATTCATACTGATTTTAGAAATTCGGACAGTGATTGTGATGGTTATGATATGGGACTATAAATTCTATAATGGCAACCAAAGCATGTCTGTTTTGTGTGGTTGGACAATTGGAAGTGATGAGACATCTACTGGTGCTTTCTTTTAACTATGGATTATAACTATTGGTGTCTAATTTATTTTTTTCATTAAAATATACTCTTTTCGTCCCAACTAGCGACAGAACTACATTTGGGCTTGGGCCAGCTGGCGACCGCCCCCTCTATTTTTTAGCGTAAGAATAACTTTTTTACACAGATTTTACGCTGATCATTTTGTGTTGCCTTCCTTTTTTTCTTCTACACTGCTGCTAATGTGTCAAGGAGAATTGAAGAATGCTGTTATTATTCTTCTGTAGCAACTTACAGCCTTCTTCTTCAATTGATTTTTTTTTTTAAATCTTATTTTATAATATTCCTGACACATATTTATTGTCATTTTCATCAAGAAAACACATTTCTCACGTGCAAAAGATGTTATAGGATGTGCTCATTTTCATATAGAGTGCTAGGTTGTTGTGCAATATTTATATGCACTATAGTTTTGGTGTGTGTAGAAGTTTTATTATGGGTTCAGAATCATAAACCCAAAATATTTAGAGATTCTTTTTTAAACATTCTCTATTATTAGGGCATATAGTACCAAAAATCCTAAAAAGTAGGAAAACACACTAACACCACTATATGCATACCTACCTCATTCCATAGTGTGTTTATTTGTGAGGTTTTAGTTTTGGGTTTTGATTTTGAATAGTAAAATTTTGAATTGAAATAGTCGATGTGATATAAATATGTGTTGATGTGATCTTTTGAATGTAAAATTAGATTTTAGTGTAATAAAATAAATAAAAATTGAATGTATGATTTGATATTTTTGGAAAGAAAAGAAAGTTGAAATAGTAAAATCAGTGCTAAAATCTTACGAGTAAACATACCTTTGGAATTTTTTTTTTTTTTTTATTTTTATTACAACCCCTTCAAAGGGTCCAAATTGAGATAGAAAATCAAAACACAATTGAGTTATTATAAGTTTTCTAACATCAATTTGACTCAAACACCAACGTTTCAAATATTGCTTAATTTCTTTCAACTCTAACCCTAATCCTACTCCAATTCCCTTAAACTTAGGTTTATTATGCTTTACATTTGTTCTCCTATTATATGGTGAAGCTCAAGGGAAAACATGGAGGATTACTACGCTCAACTTATTAGTCATGTTCATGATTAAACCCCACTAAGTATAGTTAGAATGTTTTCTTCTCCTAAGTTATGACCATGAATAAAAGAGAGATATCTTGCTGTATGTTTTTTCCATTATCTTTATCCCATGCTCATTAGTCTTTTCGTTAATACTTATATATACTTATTATCCTCTCTCAAAATCAAGATTGATAAACATACTAGTGAAATGTATGTCTTGGCCACCTTCAATATAAGTTCACCAAACTAGGTCACCAAATTTTTATTTTTTTTGTGTATGTATTTGTTTATGTCAATTTCACTTAATTTTGTTTCAAATGGTATCACACTGCTAATCTTTATTTAAGTGAAAGTCAAAATGAGAGATCACCATGCAATTGAAAATTTTGATGAAATTGATTTTGGAATCTAGAATATGCAAATTGTAGATGACTTGCATAGAAAAGACTTGAAAGTGATAATAAAAAATAAACTTAAAGAAATGGACAAAATCATCTGGAAGAAGATAAAAAAAGATAATAAATGTGATTCAGCCTTCCCCTATGAGAAGTATTTAGCTTCATAGAGCATATGTTGAGTCAACAAAAGAAGTCCTAAAATCTTGTTAGATATGTATGGACAATCTTCTAGCGCGAACAAGATTTACTTGATGTGAATACTATTCGGCTTGAAGATGATCAAAAATGCTTTTTGCTACACATCTCAATGAATTAAATATTAAAACCTTATAGTTGGCATTAGGAAAGATCGACTTTGACATGAAGGTCAAAACTTTAATATTTCAATCATCTTTACCGGAAAGTTAGGATATGATAGTAATGACGATGAGTGCATTGTTTTGGAAGAAAATATTAAAGTTTGATATTCAAATAATTGTATCAAATTTCAATTAAATGAATCTGGTTAGATTTGGGTTTGAGTATGGGTTGAGTATCGAATCTATCCACGCTATCGCCAACTTTACTTAAATTTGAGCAAGTTATAACTACTATAATTAATGGAGCGGGTATGTTTGACTACCCGTGGCCCGTGGAATTTTAGTTGATATTATGTTTTCTTTCTTTTCTTTAAATATTACATCATATAGGACTTATCTAAATCTCATCTTTTTATTTCTCTTATATTTGTTTATTTGTATTATATAAAAATTTACTATCTAAAAAATAATATTCATATTATATATATTTTTATTTAAATATAGTTTTTGAAATAAATAAGATATATCAGCTGTATTTCTTTGGTTGTTTGAATAAATCACCTCCCGCTCAACTTCACTTAAAATCCAACTGGCAACCAAATACTTGTGTTTATAACTATTTAATGACTATAATCAACTTAGACGGTTTGTTGATTTTTCACATTCATCACCATATACCCTGAGAAAATTACTCCAAACAATTACAAGATAATTAACTTTGTGTTTGTTTGGCTGATTTGAATTTTGAGTTTGTATATTGAATATGAAAATTTCGACTTTGAATAGTTATTGGATACAATATAAATATGTATTAATATGAAATTATAAATATATAATTATTATTTGGTATAATACAAAAATTATAAAATAAGTGTTTAATGTAATATTATTTTAGAGAAAATTTCACTACAACAAAAATACCATATTGGCTTTGAGAAAATTTTAATATATAGAATGCACCTATTTTCACGAAAACTGTGACAAATTGTTACGGAAGTTATAACAATGTAAATAGTAATTTTTTAAATATTCCGTTAATAATTATTGCAACTTTCGGCAACAATATAAATAATTGTAATATTTTTATAGTATAACTATTTATTGCAGAAATTCGCGACAAAATAGTTCTATATTCTCTCTTTATTTATAATACTATTATGTGTGATAATATATTCAGCTGCAATAAATATTACTGTTAAGAGTGAAAATCTTGCAAAATCTTCCCATCCAATACATAAAAGAATAAAAATAAATAAACAGATAACAAAAAGTGAATTTATTAAATAATATAAAATAACAATCATATACATGTGTGACCGACTCTCGTAGATAAATCAAATGTCCGAATCATCGAAATAAGAGGCTCTACTGCTGAAGTCAAATGAAAGAACGTACACAACAAAAAAATAACATGTAACAAAACAAGATCCATCAAGGGGACAAATCAATCGCAGCCGTTCATAATCACAAATCTCGCGTCCACCAATTTCACAGCACGGCTGCCGCCACAAGCGCGGCCGCAAGAGCGGCGCCTCGGACGGCAGCTCCGCTGATGAACCGCCCACTAGCAGCATTTCCGGTGGGAGGGGTGGGGCTGGGAGGCGGGGCGGGTGCCTCGGCAGGGGTGGGGGCAGGGGTAGGGGTGGGGGTAGGGGGGCGGGATGGGGGTGTTCTGCTTCTCCTGGGGGTGCTGCTGGTGGGAGGCGGGGTGGATCGGGAAGGCGGAGAGGGAGTAGGCGGCGGCGTTCTTCTGGCCGGTGGTGGCGTCGGAGCGGCGGCGGGAGGAACCCTAGGCGGAGTAGTGGGTGTTTGAGCGAGGCAGGCGGTGGTTAAGAGTACTGTGAGCAGAAAAAATTTGAGGGGTGTGATTGAAGGAGCCATTGATGAAGATAGAGGGAATTATGGAAAGTTTAATTGGGGATGGACAAGAGACAGAGGAATTTTGAAGAATACGAAGAAAGATGTAAAGGCAAGTTGTATATATACACATACATACGTACGTATATGTATATGTATATGTATACATACATATTTAGGAATAGAAGAACTAGATGGCATAGAGGGTGATGCATGTGTTGGAGAATTAATTGTAGCAGACGACAGTCAATTTTGTGTGTGTTGTATGTGTATGTAATGTTGATAACGTTACAAAACGTGTTCTGTAAAATAAGACTATGGGTTATATTTAAAATGTGTGCTTTGTGAATTTTTGATGGGTGTTTTCTGGACTTTGATGGATGTTTTTGGACTCTTGTATCGGTTGTTGTTTACTCTGTGTGTTCTTTTGGGAGATTTCAGATATTTTTATTATTCACTAAATTTTTTTCATCTAAAAAATATCAAATAAAATACTTATTTTTATTTTATATATTATACTTAAAAATCAATTTTACATTCAAAATATTAAATCAAAATTTATTTATATTATATCATATTTCAATTCAAATTTTTTATTATACAAATTTCAACTCAAAATCCAAACTCACAACGAGCACACCCTGAGTTTTTATGTTATAATTAATATAAATGATTTGTTATTTGGACATTTGATCGGTGCTTTTTTTATTTTTATTTTTTATTGGTACTATTTAGAAAAATCAGAATCAATATCGTAATAAAAATATAACAAATGTCAAAGATAAAAAAGGTAACACATTACACAAAATATTTTCTTATTGCAATTAGTTGTTGAGGAAGGAAAATGTTGTAGCTTTTCTTTGTTTTCTTATCTTAGTCTTTTTCTTTTAACGCAAAGCCAACAGCCTTGCAATAATTCATCATCGTAGAAACAAATAAATGGAAATCTAATTATTCAATATACATATATATAGGATAAAAATATTGTGATGAATTGTGAACACCATTGCATTGCAACTGTTCCAGTGGTACCCCTCCCACGGCGTGCCTACCCGACATTTTGACACCACCGCTACAATCCGAATAGGATGAGAAATTAATAAAAAAGTTTTCAATATTGAATTTAATGTTAGTATATATGAGGGAAGATTGAGGGCCTAAGATTTCAACCATATGTATAATTTTAATTGCTTGATGTAATTTGTTTTATTCTAATTATTTGATACAAATAGTTATGAGTTGGAAATATTGATGATCTTATTATCACTTCGAAGAGAACAATTATTGTCAAATCTTGTGACTCTATCCTCGTTCTCTCATCTTTTTTGTTTTCGTGATTAATTTGAAATTTGACGAAATTTAAAAAGTTGATGCGAAACAACTCAATGAGCCAAATTCATGGCTTTAATGTACTATTTTATTTTTTGATCCAAGGTCCGTTAGAACTTCAAATCAATATTTTCTACCTTTCGATTTTCTTTTTTGGCCATTATTATTTTTATTTTAAGCTTATTTTCAAGCTTTAGAGTTTTCGATTTTATAAATATCTAATTTTTTAATAAGTAAAATGAGGGAAAAAACAAATTAAAAAAGAACTGGTAATTAATTAATTAATGGAATCAATGTTTGTAGAATTGGTTCTTCTGTTCACTAAATATCCATTGAATTGTTACTTATAAACAATTGAAAAACATATTGACAAAGTAGCAGCATAACGAAAAATGCATAGTTAGAAACCCTAAAGTCCTATTCTTTAATATTATCTTTGAACTGGTCGATGTTTGCACAAGAAAGGTGCATTGCCTTTAAATACTTTTAATTTCGTATGAAATTCATTTTATATTACATTAAAAATGTGTAATGTTATGCAATATATATATATATATATATATAATATAGTACTGCATAAAAATTCATAATTTATTATCTTTATGGTGTTTCAAAATCGAATATTTCTTCAAAATTTTGTATGACCCAAGCAAGCGTATTGATATATAATCAAGAATAAATTATTTGTTTATTTATATTTTTTTAAATTTGTTTTTTGTATTATTATTATTATTTTATTATTGTTGTTGTTGTAAAAGGAATATAAATTATATGAAATATTTAGTTTTTATTTTGTATATTATGTTGAAATATGCTTTCTATTTAAAATGCAGTGTACAATTAGTATTTATATTAGATATTTTATAACTATTTTTAACCCTGGATTAATTATTTTTGTGTATTGATGATTTATATGACTAAATAATTTGAGAAATAAGATTTGAATAGATGTTTTGACCAATTTTTACTGATATGCACACTCTACGATGTAGTGCATGGACACGTGAGACTATTAAGAAAATGCATGAGAACGGTGGGTCTCGAACTCGAGACCTAAGACTCTGATATCATGTCGGATGAATACAATGATCACATAAAAATTCAAACTATTAAGGAAACATATCATTTATTTATTTTATATGACGATACTTGCGCTCAACCCGACCATTTTGACTAGATTGCTTGCGGTGGACCTGACGTGCACTAATCTTATTTTATTTTTGGAGATTTATTATGGAGCGTAGTGCTTCATCGGCTATAGCTTCTGCCACATATATCCTGCAATCCGTTGTGGCTTCGCCTCCCACTCTTTAGGATATTAATAAGCTTCTTACTGAGGTTTTCTCTACCAATTCTAATTCTCATTCACCTCTAGGTAATACCTATTCGTATTTTGATTCTGCATGTTATAATCATATAACTTCAAATTCCAAACTTATGTCGTTCTCTATTCCCTCTTCTCCGCCCCTTTCAGCTGCTGTTTCCCCTTACCTTCTAGTTATCAGTGGCATATTCGGTTAGAACACGCGTCTACGAACAAGCTCCGATCTCTCGTCACTAAAGGTGTTCTAGGTCCTATGTGTCTAGAGTCGTTCGACTGTATGCAATGTAAGCTTGAAAAACAGTCTACTTCTCTTTCTTCTCAAAATTTTTCAATTGTTGATAAACCTTTTCCTTTAGTTCATTCAGATATTCGGGGCCCTCACTGGTAGGATCTATGAATGGTTATAAATATTTTGTGATCTTTGTTAATGATTTTTCTCGTTTTACTTAGATCTATTTTTTGAAGCAACGCTTTGAACTTGCATCCATTTATATCACATTTTTAAAAATGATTCATACTCAGTTTTCTTGTATCATCCAAATACTGCATATTGGTAATGCCTTAGAGTATAATGACTGAGTGTTTCTTAGTTTTCTTTCTACTCAAGGTACTTCTATTCAGTGGTCTTGTCCATACATATCCCAAGAAAATGGTCGGGCTAAGCGCAAACATCGTCACATTTTTTATATAGTTTATGTGTTTCTCCTCTCTGCTTCATGTCCTAATCGTTTCTAGGGAGAAGCTCTCTTACTGTCGTCTACATCATAAATAGGTTACCCTATTTTGTTCTTCACGGTGCCACTCCTTTTGAAAAGCTCTTCGGTGAGTCTCCCGATTACTCTATTCTTCGTATGTTTGATTGTGTTTGTATTATCCTCATTCCACCTCATGAACGCACTAAAATTGAAGTGTGGGCTCGTTTGTGTTGCTTCTTTGGTTACGGGTAGAGCATAAGGGTTATCGATGTTGAGATCCCGTGTCGAAGCATTTTCGTATCTCTTGTCATGTCATATTTTGGGAGCATCAGATATTCTTATCAGTGTCCCAATTCAATGCCTTATCTTTCTCTCATTCTCAATTATTCACCTGTGATCTCTCCTTATTGTTCCCTACTTCTACTGGTTCTGGCGCCATGGTGAAATTGGTAGACACGTTGCTCTTAGGAAAGTGCTGAAGCATCTCGTGAGGTGACATCTACTGCTCCCGATATAGTCCCGCCATTGCCACCTCCTCAAGTGGACCCGTCTGTGGCTTCTGAACCGGTACCTGAGCCTTCCCCCACTGTCCCTGCTGCCACTATCCGCCGATCTACCCGTGTAATTCAGCCCCCCCCCCTCACTCACCTCCTTGATTACCACTGCTATTCTGCTATATTGTCTCACAATGAACCAAGGTCCTTCCAAGAGGCGACTATTGACCCTTTGTGGCGGCAAACTATGGAAAAGGAACTACAGGCTCTTACAAAGACACACACTTGGAATCTTGTGACTCTACCGACAGGCAAGCGCCCTATTGGGTGCAAGTGGGTCTACAAGATTAAGACTCACTCAGACAGTTTGATTGAGCGCTACAAAACTCGTCTTGTAGCGAATGGCTACTCTCAGGAGTATGGTATTGATTATGAAGAAACCCTTTGCTCTTGTTGCTCGTCTTACCATTATTCGTTGTGTACTTGTGATTGTTGTTGTTCGTTGGTGGTCCATTATTCAGTTGAATGTCAAAAATGTCTTCTTGCATAGTGATTTGACCGAGGATGTCTACATGAGTCCTCCAGGTATTGAGATTTCCGGCAAGGTATGTAAATTGCGTCGGGCTCTCTATGGTTTGAAACAAGCACCTCGCCCTTCATTTGCCAAATTCAGCTATGCTCTTATTCAGTTGGTCAGCTGGTTGAGCAGGGATTTACAATTACTTTTTCATTTTCTGGTGTGCAGATTCAAGACTCGCAGATAGGTCAGCTTGTTGGGACGAGGTGTAAAACTGGTCGGTTAATGATACATTTTCTTAATAGATTGAGTTTTTCGGTGAGACAGTCATTCAGCGCATCCAACATGGTATCAGGGCCCTAAGTCTCGAGTTCGAGTCCCACCGCCCCAATTTCTCATATGTATATGCAAGTTTCACGCATACTTCCACTTGCACCTAAGATGGAGTGTTGAGACTCTCATTTGCAGATAAATAAATTAATGATTTATTTTCCTAAAAGCTTGAGCTTTTAGGTGAAACAATCATTTTGTGTAATCCGACCTATCCAACTTGGATATAACACTGTTGAGGCTCAAGCAAAGGTTTGTAATTTTGATTTAGGTAAAAGACAAGTGATCTGAACAATGAGAATATGAACTTGATAGTCATGATAGGGAATTAAAAG